TAATACTTCAGAAATACTTTTGCTGTTCATATTATACTTTCAAAGAATGCAAGGATAGTAGATCAGGCTGGTGCATGAACCAGATTTTAAACATCAGTGCTTTTTAAAAGAAATATTACATTAATAGGGTAAAGATACAAAATAATGAAAAGCAAAACATCCAGAGATCCCCATGTTGCTTGTTGACATGCAAATCCCCCTTCTACAAAGGATTGCAGCCAGCTTCATTTAACTACACAGTCCTTGTCTTCTAAAATGGTATGTAGAGCTTTGCTTATGTATTTCATCTGCTCGCTCTACATTGCAGTGTGAGCTCAGGGAGGATGTAGCATTTCTTCAATGCAGGAACTTCATGGCCCAAACCAGAAACATTTCAGGCTTTTCCATGCACATGAATAAGGACATGGCAATATTTCCAAAGCAGAGAGAACAGTTTTTGATTTTGTATTTTTCATTCATTTATTGAGAGATAAATTTCAGAACTTCATTGTTCACTGAAAGAAACTAGAAAGACAACATCAGGTTTTACATGGAATGTATTAGTGATTATTCACCTTTTATTCTGGGCCTGGAATAGTATGTCATAGCAGAAAGAACCATGCAAAGCAAACATACATTTGTTTACCTGCGTAAAGGATGTTAATGACTTGATAATATAAATTTCTTATTTTCTTACATTTAACATTTTTCCCAAACAGATTGAGGAAAATACTAACTATAGATTGCTATAAGACAGACATAATTAGGAAGATGAAAGATGATTTTATATTTGCATATAATCACGCAAGTATTGGTGAAAAAGAAACAAGAAATGATATATCTATGTCTGTGTTTGAGACAAAGACGAGGTAGATGGAGGAGAGATTTAGGTAAAAAAATTTTGTCTAGAAACTTGGAGGCATGTATAGAGAAAAAAAAAAACCTACAGATAAATACACAAGTTAGTGAATAAAAGATCCCCTGGGATGAATGCAGAATCTACACAAAATGGATTTTCACATCCTCTGTCACACTCAGGTTTCAAAGAATAAGCAAATGTCCTCCCTAACCACACCCTAGTGATGGATTTCATTCTCCCACTCACAGACTGCTGTGTCCACGAAAACATTTTTTGAATAACTAATGTGTCACTCTTGCTATGCATGTAGTGCTATGCACTACAAACGACCCCGCGCTGGAGAAGGTGCTGCTCGCGGTGTTCCTGCTGGTCTACCTGATCACGCTGGCAGGAAATCTGTGCATGATCCTGCTCATCCGCACCACTCCCCACCTCCAGACCCCCATGTACTTCTTCCTGGGCCACCTCTCCTTTGTGGACATTTGCTACTCCTCCAACGTTACTCCGAACATGCTGCACAACCTCCTCTCTGATCAGAAGACCATTTCCCTGGCAGGCTGCTTCACGCAGTGCTTTCTCTTCATCGCCCTGGTCATTGCCAAGCTTTACATGCGGGCGTGCATGGCCCTGGATCGCTATGTGGCCATTTGCAGCCCTCTGCACTACAGTAGCAGGATGTCCAGGCGCGTCTGCGTCTCGTTAGTCAGCTTCCCTTACCTGTTCGGCTTCGTGAATGGGCTGTCTCAGGCCCTGCTGACTTTTCACTTGTCCTTCTGTGGCTCCCTGGAAATCAATCACTTCTACTGCGCCGACCCTCCGCTGTTAGTGTTGACCTTGTTCTGATGCCCGGGTCAAAGAGATGGCGATGTTCGTTGTTGCTGCCTTCACCCTGTCCAGCTCTCTCTTGGTCATTCTTCTGTCCTACATTTTCATTTTTGCAGCCATCCCGAAGATTCGTTCTGCAGAAGGCAGGTGCAAAGCCTTTTCTACTTGTGGCTCCCACCTGACCACGGTGGCCGTACTTTATGGTACTCTTGTGCATGCTTTTTTTTTATTTTTACAGGTCTGAGTCCATCTCTAAGCTCTTGACCTATACCCTGAGGAATAAGGATGTGATCAGCGCCATACACCACATGGTCAAGGTAAATATCTTTCAGAAATTTGCATTTTAGCCTAAGCTTGTCATCACTGAGTACACTGATGACATACTGAATCCCTAGCAATACAACTACTATTCCAGTGTCTGACTTTTATCTTGAAGTCTCACAACCCAACTTTGTTCATTACTTTGCACTAGTGTCTTCAACATAATTCTTTCCTTTTCGATTCCAAAAATGTTTCACTTGCCATTAACAATGTTTACACCCACTAAATTTTTTCTACAACATTGATGTAGAGGAATGCATCAACACAAAACTTTTTTAGTGTGATGTCTACTATCACCCCAATGCTAGATACAAGCAACTCAACATTTGAAAATGAGTGACCACCTTCACTGCCAAAGAAAAACGATGTGGACACTTGTGATGTCCATGCAATATACAAAAATATAAAAATGCATTTCTTGCAGGTAAAAATAATGAACTCAGAGAAATTAACTTTTTCAAAAACCATCAAGGGACTAGATTTTATATCTAAACATAAAATTTTAGCTACTTCAGGGATGCTCTGAAAAGACTCCAATGCGTAGGAATTTATTAACATATAATTAGTAATTATATTAACTATATTTCAAACAATTATAAAAATGTATAAATGTGAAAAATGTGTACACACAAATATTTAATACAGAGAAGACAAAGGTGATATTATAAACGACTGTAGTTTTAAGGCAAAAAGATGAGTTTGGGTACCAGGTTCACAAAAAAGAGAAACATATGCCACAGAGGGGTTGAATATATTTATATTGCATATAATACTAAATGAATTGTCCTTAGCAAAAAATTTATGGCACAACTACAAAAGAAATAGAAAAGGTAAAATAATTCAAATGAAAGTGCACATGGAATATGAACATACAGCAGGAAAAGAGAAATCTTGGATTAGTGTGGATATATCCACAAACACTTAACCTCACTCAAAATACCCAAGCATAAAGAGCAAGTGAAAATTTACTTTGGATCCATAAAACTGGGAAATGTCTCAAAAGTCTGAGGGTCTTAATGTAGGGAGAAGTGTACAGTAAAGAGAACACAATGACACTGTTGGTAGAAGTGGAGAAACTTTAAAAATAGAGTAAATTCAGGTGTCAATACACAGTAAATTAATTAATTGATATATGATCATTTATATTTTAATTTATTTTGCAAATATTCAACCTAACTTTTACAAGCAATACTGACATATTTCTGGTATACACAGTAAATTTTAAATTGCTCATTTCTTACAACCCCCAAAATAACAGACCTATATAGAAGAAAATATTTCACTGGAAAATTGTTTTAAATTACTCAAGAAAAATTTTTGCTAGGTTGTGATTTATCATATATTGCCATATTTATTTACTGGCATAGACTATGTCACTGAAAATTGTTGCCGTGTGGTCACCTAATTCATTGGGGATAAATCTAGTGATAATAGTAAAACCAAAAATCATAGATGGTACATAGGAGAACAATACTGATGTAACTATATATGGATAAGAATCATTAAAATAATAGCATAATTTTATGCAGAAAATTGAGAAAAACAGAATCAGCTAAGGATGACTCAGCTGTTTAATGTCTGATTGTCTGAGAAACCTGGGACAAATGTGACATTGTGTTAACATGTAATAATGATTACTTTGTGCTGATAACGAGGCTTTCCATTATATTCTATTTTCTCCCATTTGGTGAAAATAGTTCATTACAAAGTCTAACAAGTTAAAACTTCATACTAATTTAATAATGTAGGTAATATCAAATCAATCAGATGCAGAAAACAATTTAATTTCCAAAGAGAAATAATGAAACAATGCATGAAAGATGTATTTAAACTACATAAAAGTGATATTTCTTAACACTTCAAAATATATGATGATAAATGAGGTAAAATATAAACATATTTACGTGTAAGCATATACATATTTGACAAGATAAGATTTATATCTTTAAGAAAGATTATAAAAATTAATTTTAAAAATATATATCAAGTGATAAAGTAGGCAAAGTACTGAATGTTAATTTGTCACAAGATAAACATGAATAAGCAATATAAAGGTGTTAGTAAATTTACAAATACATATGTCTATACATGGCTAAAATAGCAAATAAATTTATGTATTTAAAAATACAGGATATCCTAATGAATGAGTGGAGGAAAGGTTACGTATGGGTGGGAAAGCCGTACTCTTAGCAAACAAACACAAAACCACTCTGTGGTAAGTTGCATCTTTCCATGAAATACAGCATGAAAGAGAATGCCATGGGATTGGGTGTAAGGTACTCATTGGGCTCCCAGAAGGAACGGTGGGGGTGGGTATGAGGAAAAGATAGACAAGAGGCAATAGCTGGTCAGGTGGAGACAATCTCTTACCTGATGGGTAAGAGAACCTGAACAACAGTAGGGGAATTTGTTTATATGCTTAGTTAGTATCACAAGAGGCAAGGTTGCCTAGTGACTAATGACTGAATTGTCCAGGCAGGGTGTTTTTCTCAAGACTGAGTTAACTCCACTGCTTGAGGCACTGTGGCTCTGTCCTGCCCTTACCAATATGATGAATTTCCAGCTCCAGCTGCTCCCAACATTTGAGTAATATAGCAATAATCTGAGATGCACCCAAACAATGTTCATTGTTATATAATTTGAATAAGGAAAAAATACCTCCCAGGATAGCCAAGTTTCTGAAAAATAATTCAGAGTTTATTGAGGACTAATAATACATAATCAGTTGTCAGTACCATGTAATTTGTTACCAATGTGCATACTGTGGATAGAATAATCTGTTCTTTATTGATTTTACAGAGTAATACCCTGGTCTTGACTTTTAATTTATACACAGTTTTAAAAACACTCACTGATTTGGGCCTGTCATTGCAGACAAATAAGAACATATAACCGCAAATCTGTTCTGTGAGTTATTAAAGGTCACAATTAATGAGAGACAGGTATTTATCAACTAACACGTTCATTAAATTGTTAGATGAAATCGATGTTTTACATACCTGTGACCTTGTCTACCTTACTTAGCCAACCACTCCTTGTGGATAACTTTTCGTATTGCTCTTTTCACATCTTTGTTCCTCAAGCTGTAGATCAGAGGGTTTAGCATTGGACTCACAAAGATATAAAACACAGCTACAATTTTACCCTGTTCCACAGATGCCTCAGAAGGGGGCCTCAGATACATGCAGAACAGTGTCCCATAAAAGACGGTGACAGCCGTCAGATGAGACCCGCAGGTGGAGAAGGCCTTGCGCCTGCCCTCGGCAGAGCGCATGCGCAGGATGGCCGCGAAGATGAACACATAGGACACCAGGATGATGCTGAGAGAGCAGGTGAGGTTGGACCCGGCCACCACAAACATGGCGGTTTCTTTGACATACGTGTCTGAGCAGGCGAGGACCATGAGCGGGGGGTCAGCACAGTAGAAGTGATTGATCTCATTGGGTCCACAGAAGGTCAGACGGAGCATCAGGATGGTTTGTGCCAAGCCATTTGCAAAACCATAGAGGTAAGGAGCAGCGACAAGAGAGACACACACACATCTGGACATCTTGCTGCCGTAGAGCAAGGGCTGGCAGATGGCCACGTAGCGGTCATAAGCCATCACTGTGAGCATATAATAATCTGTGATCACCAGTGCAATGAAAAAGTGGAACTGGATAAAGCAACCAATGAAGGAAATGGTTTTTTTCTCGGATAGGAAATTCACCAGCATCTGAGGGGTGACATTGGTGGCGTAACAGAGATCTACAAAGGCGAGGTGGCTGAGGAAGAAGTACATCGGGGTGTGCAGTTTTGAGTCACTGCTGATTAAGAAAATCATGGTCACATTCCCAGTTACGGTGATAAGGTAGATGACTAAGAAGACCACAAACAGGACAGGCTGCAGGTCTTCTCGGTCTGTGAGTCCCAGCAGAATGAACTCAGTTACCACGGAGTAGTTTTGCTTAACCATTCTGTGTCTTCAGCTGTGAGTAAGGCCTAAAAAAAAGAAAGGAAAAATGCATCTAGCTTGTGTCATTTATTTATTGTCCCATATATGATATTTCTTCCCTTGTCTCAAATATGTAAATGTGGCATAAAATTATTAATGATTTAAATATATAATATCAATAATCACACACATATATATAGATATATATTCTGACAATCTTAAGTAGAGTTTTCATACTTAAAGACACTTTATATTTTTGCCAGTGTTGATCATATTTATGCACTTATCATTTGCTTTTAATATGGATATAAATCTTGGCTTTTAAAAAATAATGGAATCCTTTGTGTTATGCTATACTTTTTGATATGGTATCTAATGTATCAGTCATAGGACATACCTATGCTATTCACAAATGAATACGTTACAGGGAGTGAAATTGAAGAACGGTTCATATAGAACTGAGATCGCCTTTCCCAGCCCCACTTATTTTGAAGATGTTCACTCCCCCACAGTGTATGTTTGTTTTTCTGTCTGGTCCATCCTAATTGACCCTCATACCATGAAAAGTTCTTTAAATTTTAAGACTATCCCATGATGTCTGATTTTTTTAATATTTTGCCCAGGTAGAAAAATATTTGAAATATCTGGTTTTAGCTAAGAAAAATAGTATACACATATACCATAAATATACCTACACACATATTGGTGCTCTGAAATGCCCATAAGCTGTGTAGTTTAAAGAGAACCATGATGCATTCCCATGTCCTTGTGAGAAGGGGGGTTTGGGCAAATGAGAAATATTTGAGAAATGAGTCCCCAGACCATAATCTACTTTGGTAACTGCACCTCATCCTAATTCTTGCAAAGCCTTTTAAAAATTCCGGAATATAAGCTCAAAATAGTCTCTTTAAGCAGTACATGTTATTTCCTTAGTTTATCATAAATTAATATCCATGTTAACTGTAGAGCTGAGACAGTCCTTAAGATATTATGCAGCATATCTGTGTATCTCTCAACATTCGGGCAGAAGAAATGCAACCAGGAGACTCTGACGGAAAGTTTACGTCTTCCTTTTAATAGTAAATTGCAGTTGTGATAATACAATACTGACTCTTTCTGTAACTCTAAGTTAGTGATGGGAACAGGTCACAGTGCAAGCACTTTATACATTTCACAGGCAGCGGTCCACTCTCCATTGCTTTATCCCATTATGCATATGAGGACTTTGGAGACACTAAGTAAGGTTATAGGGTCCAAAATAAGTGAATAAACTCAATGAAACCCTAATTATTTTCTCCTGTTTTCTGAGTTATTACTATCCAAATGAACTTTATCACCACAGTAACCAAATTGGCAAATACTCTTTCATTACTAGGATGATATTCTTAATGTCCTTTCTTAATTGAAATGCTCATCACAATTTGAGATTATTAACGTCTCTGTTCATTTTCTGCGGTGAGGAAATAAGGCCATGCAAGCAATGGGCATTCCAGACAATTTAGCTGAGAACTTCAAAGTACCAGCTTTTCTTCGTAAGAAAAGGAACATAATACCCATTATGAGTTAAGCCGGAAAATCTCAAAGAGAATCATTTGCAAGGGACATAAGCAAGTCTGGTGGCATCCTTGAGCTTCTGCAATCCACTTTACTGAGAGGTTCTTTCATGTGAATGCTTCCGGCTGCCGTGCAGTCCCGGAAGCCACTGACCTTTAGATTAACAAGGGCAGTGTTTCCTTGGTCAGGTATAGTTCAATATAAAGCAGAAAAAAATTAGTGGAGGAACCTCCAAGTACATCTTTTAATTGTCTTCCAATAATTAATATAGACTGAAAGTGCTCATTTCTAAATCAAGGGAATAGAAATTGTATGAAACAGTGATTACAATTACAGAGTAGCAATGAGAATCCTAAAGACCACTTAATACACTCCCATATTTTTCTTCTGGTTTTCTGAATTCAATGACAGTAAGTACGCTAAGTACTGAGAACCAGAGCCCAAGGGTTCCTGGGAGTTTACAGTCCCATCCCCTGGGTAAGGACCCCCCTTCCTCTCCTTCCAAGTTTGCAACTTTGAGTAAGTTATTAAGCTCTCTGTGTCTTACTTTTCCCACTGACGGAATCTGGCTAACCATAGTAATTGCTTCCATATGAGGATGTTAATTCAGGTACATCTTTCAAAGGAAGTCTGGCCTGTCATAAGCACTTAAAAAGCTGCGGTTGCTTGTCTTATACTGAAAGACCCAGGTTTGGTTTGGAATATTATTATACTTCAAAGCACCAGCTCCGTAGGGAACAAAAATTGTATCTAAATCTACGTCCATAGATACTGGGGTTTCTTATTTGGAACCATTCAATCGCTTTTTGATGGACTTAGTGCTCTCTGCGGTCTAGCTCCCTTTGCATTATGTATAAACCACTCCAGTGTACATTTATTTATAAGTACTTTACTCTGAAAACAATAGTAGCATTTTCATAGAGACATTTGCCAATTCATCAGTTGAAGTATCCTCTCAAATTACATTGAAAATGTTTATTTCTGGTTTCCAAAATTTAAAAGAGATATGTCTTATCCTACCTGAGGAAAGGATGTGATTTCACAGTGACAGCACCTACATGTTGAACCCAAAGAGTTTATAGCAGATTTGTCTCATAGGGACCAAATCCCTATGGTTCAATTACTCCTTCCAGAAAATTATTTAAATGATAAGACTACCACTCTCTGCCTATTCTAAGTATGCTAACCTCACTGAGGAAATGGATTTTGCTCCTCCTCGCTGTCATGAAGCAAAGAAATGATGAAGCAGTGGGATTCATTATTTTTTAGTTTATGCTGAATTTCTTACTATTTTGAATAATGAAAATACTAGTTTTTCTCATGTTCAAACTCTAAACTAAAATAGTGCATGATGGAGGGAGAAGATTTGAAATCTTGTAAACATTGGAAGATCAGTTAACTTTCCCTAAACTCAGACTAGTCTTATACTAATTTTGAGGCCAGAACCTTTATTATGTTAATAGAAATAATAACTCATAGTAAGGAACATTACATATTTATAGATACTTAATGTAGATGAACTGAGAATTCTCCCTTTCCCACTGTACTCCCACGCAGATATATTATCTTTTGTCTCTACCATTGAGTTTGTTCTTTATAGACCATCTGGTAGACCACATCAACAGAGATCCTTGGCATTTACTTTAAAACTCACCACGACTAATGGAAAGTAACAACGAGAGATGAGAGACTGAAGGAAAGAGAAATATCTAACGTATGTCTCATTCCCTTCCTGTTTAAAAGGAAACATGATAATAAGGCCGCATCTATTCGAGGAGAAATCCTTCCTGGCTGCACCCCCAGAAGAAAGAGGTTAAGGAATTTGGGTCCTGGCTTCAGCTCTCCTTTTGTTCTGATAACTCCAGAGACTGAGCTTACTCCCTTCCACCGCGTGTTGGAAAATGTTTTCTGATATTCGACTCTGCTGCTTCAGCTTCTCTGCATGATTTTTTCATCATGCCTTCACAGTGAATTTTTCTTCTGATTTTTTTAAACTAACACATGTGATTAGAATTATGTTTATGCTGTGTTTCTGACCCTAGCTAGAGTGACACAAAATAATTAATCAATAAATGTTGAAGTGGATGTAATAGCAGTGGATGATGGCAGTGGATGTAATAACAATAATAGTGATAATGACAGCAATTGCTATTTTTTTGTCTTTGAGATGTATCTGGCTTCCCCATTGTTGAAACCTATGGAAATCATACTTTATTTCTGTATTTTAACTACATAGAGGACTTCATCAGGAATCAAACATTATGATTACTAGGAGTAGTAGCACGGGTAAATTTGAGTTCAACAGTGTGACTTATATATGCCTTCATTTTGTTGCCAAGTGAATCAATAAATTAATAAATGAGACAAGAGTCATATTCCAGTAGAAACAAGTAGCAATCATATTTCACTAGAAATCTACATGTAGAGTCAGGGTCTAGTGAACTCTATAATATTTAGTACAATGCTGGGAGCAGTGGAGTTTCAGGACCATGTTTAAATCATTTTGGTTTTTACTTTTGTATTCCACTATCTGGTGGGCCTAGGAATATCAAATCAGTATCAGTGTATTTAATTTCATCTTAACTAATAGAAGTGTAGAGTTATCCTTGACTTCAGATGGGCAGTGGAGTATTTAAAAGGTATAAGCAGTGGTGTAAGACTGTAGCAATGCCAGCTTGATAACATAGGTGAGCTTGAAAATATGAGTAAGGCAAAGGAAACATAAATTTTGAGTTGGCAAAAGAGATCAGGCCTGGTGACATATATCAAGGAGTTGAAATATTCTGATATGTTCAAATCTATGAAACTGAGATATATTTCCAAAGCACTGAGCTCTAAGTTACTCCATTAAAAGTAATGGAGAAAAAGAGGAATAAATAAAATAGCAAGCAGGAGGGACTCCTAGGTGGTAGGAGAAAGACTTAGAATCTCATGTCCTGGAATATAAGAGAAGAAATCTGTGCAAGGAGGATCTGATTAAAATATGTGCATCAAGCCACTCAGACAGAATTACAAAATTGAGAAGGGAGAGCCAGACAAGGTTGATACAAGCGGTAAAACATTAAAACATGTTATGTGCATATATTAATCCACCAAAATGCAATTCATTCATCTGTAAAACCAATGTGCACTAGTAAAAAGATGGGAAGAAAAAAAAAAGAAATCGCTGACACCAAATATCAGTGATGGATCAAGACACTGAGGATTGAGCGCTGCCCACTGGTGTTAGGAAGGTAGAGACCAGTGTTAACTTTCCAAGAGCAGTTTCCGCAGAGGGAAAGAGGGAAAGTCTGATAAAGTGGGATTAGAGAGTGAAAGTAAAAGTGGAACTGGAAACAGCAAATATGTTCGGTTGTTAGCAACACTTGATTACCCCGGTGAAGGCGTTGGGAAGTAGGTAGGATGCAGACAGCTGTTGATTGGACCTGTATTTTCACTTCTGATTTTCTTTTCTGTGTGACTGGACT